ATGCATGCGCAACACCAATAGCAAAATATTTTGAAATTCAACGTTATATTCAGATGTAAACCATTTATACGAAAATAGGAAAGAGAATTAACTAGGTTACACATAAATAAGCGAGCAAATGGTAAGTAAAATATGTGAAAAAAATGGTACGATGCAAAACAGTGAATATTTTTTACTCGGTAGATGCCACAGTCTCCTTGAAGTGGGAACTCCATTTCCAGCCCTGTTTGCTTCTCTATGAAAAAATAGAAATATGAAAATATAAAAAAATGTAAAAATAGAGAAAATGTAAATAAGTGTACAAAGAAACTGAGAAATGTACACACCGGTTGGAGAAAATGGAGTGAAAAATATTTCTCACTTGTTTATGTGTATGTTTCTGTGCATGTCTACTGTATATAACTTTGTCTACTGCTTACAGGTGTACCCGAGCACGTGTTAGTATGTCTCAGTGTCAAGATTACGGAGGTTAACATTAAAGGTGTGTAAATTTCTGAACATATTGAAAGAAAAGAGGATATATAAAATGACAAAGAGGGAAGGAAGAAAGGGCACAGAGACTCAGTGTGTGTGTGTGTGTGTGTGTGTGTGTGTGTGTGTGTGTGTGTGTGTCCAGTATATTAACAGGGTATGTCTATATATATACAGTATACATAAATATATACTGTACAGTATTGTGTCTTGATATGTGAGTACACATGTCTGTGCACATGACTATAGACATTTATTTTTATGTACACTCGTGTTGTGTCCTTCTGTTTAGAGGAGCATGAATAACAAAAGTGTACACATGTAAGTAAACAACTCCATTATGTATTGTAACAATACATCTAGATGTGATTCCAGAAGCATTTATAGTATTCATTAGAAAGTGTTCACTATACGTGTGTGTGTGTGTGTGTGTGTGTGTGTGTCTGTGTGTGTGTGTGTGTGAGTGTGTGTGTGAGTGTGTGTGTGAGTGAGTGTGTGTGAGTGTGTGTGTGTGTGTGGAGGTGAGAAGAAATTTGTCCATAAATTTTTTGTAAAATAAAAAGCATATTCTTGTACACTGTCATGTATATAAAATGATTGTATACAGAATGTCAGTGTTATTCTATAGCACTAGACAAAAATTGCAAAACACGATTTCATATATGCCATATCAAAAATATGTTGGTTTTTAAAAATCTTCTTTATAAAAAATGGTGAGGTAAGTTTCCAGTAATTTAGCGAAAGCTCACGTTTAAATAGGCCTAAGCAAAATTGCAGACAAAAACATTTCCAAATATGAATAAAATAAAGTAAAAATATCAAAGTAAAAAAAAAAAAATAGGCACAGCTCATTCTCAAAAAGAGAGACCACATCATTATGTACACATATACTTTATACATATATGTATGAAAATTACATTCATATATGTATAAATCTAGTCGATAAATGTCAACAAAAGGATAAGGTTATCACCAAGGACCTTATCTCAACAGGACATAGGGATCATTTTCACAGGAGTAGGAGCGGGTAAGGGCAGAGGGTACACGGGGACAGACCTATTAAGAAAGCCACGTGGAATATCGAATACCGAAAATAAGTCAAGCATCCTAGATCTGTTACCCAAGTTCTTCTGTTGTGTGCAGACTATTCCACGTGGTTAACTGGGTATAATAGATAAATATAGTTTCCTTGATTAATGAATTATTGGAGAGAAAAGAATTTAACTTGTTTGACCTTAGTTTACCGTATCTGAATATTTATAAATAAAATCTGGAGAAACTACAAAAATGTTTGAAATATTTCGTTAAATTCTTCTCCCTGCGTACAAAGATTGGCAGTTGTGTTGGGTCGACGAGGTCCAGTAATTAGTTATACATTCCTTGTGCATGAATCATCATCTATCGTGCAGGCCTGATAAGGCACAGGAGGTGTGTGTGCAACTATGGAAAAGATTATGATGTGCAACATTGTGTAGGAATATCGCTGTAAGTTTGCACGACTCTACCGTATGGGATGGGGTTACGACTCTAAATAAGTTAAGTTTAACTGAATATTCCAATTTTTGGGGGCTACTTAGGAGTTATTTGCTGAGAAATAATCTTCTAAATTACATCTAAGAACTTTGTAAAAAACAAAGAAACATGGCTCATGTGTAACTATGAGTGTTATTTGTAAAATAGCAACAGAACTAGTTTGAAAATGAATCAGTAAACAAAGAAATATAATTAAGCACTTTGGCAACTGTGCCAGCAGGCCAAACCACAACTTGTGCTTATAATTTACAAGTTGACAATGTTGCTTTCTGGTAGCCGTACGACAGTTATCTGTCTCATTAACAGATCTTGACATCATCAATCACTGGCACAGTAAATCATATCAAATGCTGCTGCGAGTCCAACCTCTTCGTGCGGCTACTTAAGGAAATATGTAATTTGTCTTCTGCAGGAAAAATCATAATATTGCATCTTGTCATAATTTGAGCGCAGATGAGGAGCGAGAGCCATGCAGTCTTATCTTACCTACATAAACATCACAAGCAATGAGATGCCGTCACACCAGTTTGTGAGGAAGCCCGAGACTTAAATGCCACAGTGATGCATGGTCAGTAAGGCAAGGCTTAACCCCTTCACTTTTTACTATACTGTATACCAAATTGGGTGACCATCCTCCTCAAGAGATATGCTGCTTATGACACTGCTCTCTGTTCTCTTGTAATAAGCACTTTGAATATCTTTTGAACACAACGCTAAAAAAAAATATAAAGATTCATTATATCACAGAGCAATATTGGGTGGCAGCTGCATATCTCACTAACTACATATACAGTAAATGGGAAACAATAACTTTTGAGCCATACTTGAGATACATTATTATACATGAGCTATTAATCCTCAGTAGAAAAAATATATCTTTGATTCTAGTAATGATTCATATTACTGGGCTAAAATCTTTAATGATGAGATGACACATAAATTATTACCTTCCCTATGTACACTACACATGCATATTATTAGGATTGCTATGAAGGAGTTAAATGAAACAAATTACAGTACATCCCACAGCATGCATTTAATGAGTGTAACCAAATCCAGAAGGTGATGCATACAACTACAGAGTTATAAGAGAAAATGGCAAGTCAACACATGCAACGGCTGATAAAAAGAAACAGAAAAACATGAACTAAAACTATAAATAAAATCAAGAATGGTGATAAATCTAAAAAAGAATTATAAAGTGAATTATCAAAAGAAGGGAGAGTTCATAAGGGAAGACTTGTGTCGTAAAATGGGGAGAACCATCAGAAAAGACTACGATGAAAAAAAATAAATAAATATACATGATGTATCACTCAATGAACCCTTCCATCCTTTGTTGATCCACCATAGTCACATTACAAGCTGTGTTTACTCTAGGCTAGCTACTTGATTACTGTTTAACTTGGAATATTGATTTAAGTCCAACATATGCTTTGTTAACATCTATTCACTTCTTGAGATTAAAGAATGAATTTCAAATAAACTTATGAGTGTTTTAAGGTGACTTCTTCATAATATGAAGACTATTACAGTGGCTGGCAGTGCATAAACCTCGAATAAATAATTAAAAGTTTTTTCACAATACACGTTAAAACTCTGCTTGCAGTATACATTACATCCCTACTATTAACACTGAATCTTAATGACAATGGTTGAACTGTGAGAGAGCACAGTAGCATCATTAAAATGTGTAGTGATTACATTCCTAAAAGTGTATATCTATTCTTATTGTGTGAAACATCTTTGTGACATACTGAAAGGAGTTGTCCTACAGAGCTTAAATTTAATCATCAGGTGATTGGAACAGTGCAGGAGAAAATATAGATGGTGAAAATTAGCTGTTGTGTATACACTTAAAAAACTCACATACCTACTTCAATTACATATAAATTTACAATAAAAACATCAAATATTGTCATCTGCATTAAAAAATACAATTTGATCCAAGAGACTTATATCTACATTATTGAAAAATTTACTATTTATGTATATAATGAGTTGACTGATAAACCTTAACTACCTGACACAAGAAATAAAAATATTACTGACACATACACTTGTTATAATTTCATGATTCTATATTAAAATTAATCATCAGTGCCAATTATTTGTCATTAAAATTACCAAACAATAAATTTCAATAGTGCAACAATCTGTCCTAAATATTTTAGTCCAATAACAGCTAATTATCACATAGAGAAAGCCTTACTGAAATGCCTGCAAAGTTCTACTATTTATTTTAACACCTCTAGTTTATACTGTGACATAACTTCTAATTTGCTTGAATCAAATCAGAAACAGTCACTATTTAAACTCTTCCTATACAAGTGTTTATGGTAGAGAAATAATTACAATAAACAGGTTGACAATTTCATACCTCTTCATATCTTAAGAACAAAACCAGAGACCTTATGGTGTCAAAAGTTAATAGAAAACAAATGTTATTATTATTAGTGTGCTAATTCTAGTAAGCTGATCTAGCAAGCACTGAAAGAGACTAGTAAGACTACCCATACTACCCATGACGCTCCTCTTGACCACTGCAACACCTCTATATATAAACTTTTACATAGTGGAAATTAGAATCAGGAATCACTGACATATCAGGCACTGTATAATGCCTATGGTGAGGAATCATATAACTATCTCAGTAATGAGGAGTGAAAGTAATGCATTTGTAAGAGAGAGACACAACTTTTAAGATAAATCAAGATCACATTCATTGAAGAATCTGAATCAAATCAACTATATTGAATAGAAAAATTAAAAATAAAAGTCTAAGTAATGCTAAAATTAAGTTGTCTTTAATATTCAAAGCCAAAAGCATATCTCAATAGCCTAGATCAGCCACCTAGAATAGATCATAGACTAGTGGGTGTCCTTTTCCGTGAGAGTGGTGGGTGACTTTTAGGTTTATTTGTGTGAGTAACAGCAGTTTTGGGCACAGGTGTGAGCGTGGGTGTTGGCCCGGTCGGGTGAGTGACGACACATACCTTAGCTGACGATGCCCGAACATCCTCAGCAGGCGTAGGAGAGGTGGCTCTTGGGTCGCCATTAGCTACACCAACAATAGGACCACCGCCGGGTGCGTTGGGGGGTACTCGCTGCTCCTGCACTGAGGCTAACCTGGTGGCAGAGACGTATCTGACATATTATTATCAGTGTTTTACCATTGTCAATATAACTATATGTTAAACCTAATGTCTCCATTATGTTGACCTATACTGTATAGCCACTTTGTTAATAAGTCAAAAGCACAAGGAGAGATCAGACATCTGTTTCCCTCAAATATATTCGGTGAAGTGTCCCCCACTATCAAACACTGAAGAAACTTAAAACAGGATAACTTGAACTTACATTTACTGTTCAAACATTTACTTGTACTTAACTTTTTACTTATATTCATTTACCTGTGCTCACATATACTGTATGCTTGTGTGATCACCCAAACATTTACCTTCATTCAAATACATACATTGTTTACCTATTCTGCACTGTATTAAAATAGTTACTATTATTCAACGATTAAACTCTAATTCAAAAACATTCTTGACTTCAAACTTTTACTTTGGTATTTCTTTGTATTCACACATTTATTTGTATTAAAAATTTCACCTGTATTGAAATATTTAACTTAATTAACAAAATTATATCAGTAATAAAACATTTACCTGCACTGTCCTCCTGTATTGCATTCAAACACTAACCTGCACTAATATATACACCTGTATTCAAGTCTTGCTTCCTGCATTGAACAAGAGTGTGGTACAAGTTAAGTCTTTAATTACAAACACTCACCTCTCTGTACATGTTAACATAAGAATGCAAATAAATTGGACAAAATCCTCTAAATACATCTATGATCTGTATTTCATTAATGATAATGTTTAACAAAAGAATTAATAATTAAAATGTTATGTTTACCTCCTAAAATTCAGTTAATAAGTCATGTAGTAAATATTAGTAAGAATCACTTGTAAATTAACTACAGTACATCAATTATTGAACTTCAAAGTTCCAGTAACAATATCTGGGTATTTTTCTAAACATTCCTCAAAAGTTATAAAGGCTAATCCAACTTCTCTTGAAATTCTTTTATCATACAAGAACTAATTAAGACAGACAAACATCAGGTGACTAAGGAAAATTAGTATATTCAGTGCCAGCTAAAATTATACTACAGCAGCAGTAATTAAGTATCCCAAATAGTATTTTCCAACTTGAGGTCAGTTAGGTCACCATACGGACAGAACAAACCAATCTGGGGAAACTGAACCAAGAATGATAGTGAATAACTTACAATAAATTTAATGATACTGAGGCAACCATCTCCTTCTTTTAGAGATCATGAAAAACTCAGTATCTTCTCTGACAGTCAGGTTCCTGTCAACATGTTGCCACCATGTGCATCAAAGTTTCATACAGCAACAAGTACAGTTTGGCTAACATCACATTTGATATATATCAGCAGTCCAGTGTAATGTTTGAAGCAAGATCGAGACAAAGACAAAACATCAAAAAAAGGACGACTCTAGTAAGAAAAACCAGACCAGAGCAATACTGAACTACTGAAAATAATAATAGCTGCATCACATACTTTTACTAAACTTAATGCACTGGCATTCTTAGCAACCAGATTATGTAAAACAGGACAAACCACCTTGCACATGACCAACATGATGCAGTAGAAGTCAATAAGGTTATCAAGATCTGTGCCACTAACACAGCTGTTGCAGTCTTAGCTGTGTCTTGAAGATGAAGACTAATAGAAAAACCTTTGGTTAGTTTTTCTTACAAAAACGACACCTATTGGATTCTTGAACGAAAGACTGTCTTTCAGAGGTAATTGAAACCGGAATTCTTTCAGGCAGTCAGTGGCAAACATAGAATGTATGTAGTCAGACAAAACTCATTTCAGAGAAACTTAATTCTCCATGACTGAAACATAATGAAAATCAGCAGACCTAGAAGTAGTTCATGGTCATTATATGTGAGACATCAGGACATATCACTGACATTATGTTGAGACTTACCCCAACAACAATAAAGCTAATCCACCAGCACAATATGCTCTCAGACAAGAGAGAGAAAGTTATATACTGTACTAAACTTATCACACTTAAGGAGTAACAACACTGTCACTTATTAATTCCAAGCATTGTTAACTAGGGCTGAATTAAACAAGAAAATACACATTAAATTCACTGGGCTAATCATTCACCTGTTGTTAACATCTCACAGAGTGGAGCAGCAAAAAAGACCAAAATACCTGAGGCTGTCTTGGACTTAGCTGTACTAAAAGGGAACTATAATTCCCTTCCTTCAAAGACAGAAAAAATAAGGGGTTGATCCTGAAATCCATATTCATGAAGAGTTTTGTAACCCAGTGGTTCTTGTAATATAACACTGTATGTCTCACTGGAGGGGGGGTTAGGTAAGAGGGGTATACAAACACAACCCCTCATAACTTCAGCCAGAGTTAATCCATTAATACATAGTGGATTAGTGGATATACTGATCACCACCATATAACTTACTCCTCAAACTAACCAAAGACAAGTACTGTATAGTACTGTACACTCGTCCCCACCAACACATCACTTATCCATTTCCCTGATTGGCCAATTTTCCAGTAAGTGGAAAATTAAATAAATAAGCACAGTACTTCACTTCATATTTTAGGAGATAAAGAAATTTTACAGCATTTGTAAATAATACTATTCTATCCTGAAAGATACACAGCAAGTTCCTCTAGAGCTTAAGGGAGAGAAGTGACAGCATCAGGGTGTAAAATGTTATCACTAGTTGTATCTCTTCTTGCTATTTTCTCTATGAAGTGAGCCTGTACACATAGGGTTAAACCTTGTTAAAAAAAATTCCACATTGTCACCTGTTTCTTTCTCCACATGATTTATCCATCTGGTTCTGTTCTGAAGTACTTTCCCTGTCTCTATTCTAAAGTACTTTCTGTGGCTTACTACTTTTGGAGGCACCTTCTCCGATTTAATGTCATTAGGTACATTCCTTCCTTATCGTCCTTAAGTATACTTTACTTGAATTACTTCCCCTGACTTACTTTGTCCAGGGGTGCTTACCTTACTCTGACATGAAAGACTTTTACTTACTTCTTCTATCACTGAATACTTCTCCTGACTTACTGTCCAGAAGTGACTTTTCCAACTTACTGTACCAAGTGCTTTCTTATATTTACTCTAACAGTCTAAGTACCTTTTCTACATTACTCTACCTCAGATATTGTTCCTGGTTCACCCTGCCCCCAACTACCTTACCTAACATACTCTCCCTCCATAAGTACTTTTCCCGACTTACCTCTTAAGTGTTACCAAAGTACCAGTGAGTTTCTTGCAACGTCGCAGTGCACTCTCCAACTTGTCTGGCTCTTCTTTCAGGAACCTACAAACAGAGGAATGTCTTAGATTTGTATTCACAGCAACTAATGGTGTTTCACTATGGAAGAATGAAAGGCTAGACAACAACTGCAGACAATGACATAAACAAGACTAAGAGACAGAGACTGACTGCCAAAGATAAACACACCCAACACGAAGAGTCCCTAAAACATTTACTAGTCTATTATAACATCACCTTTCAGTAGAGATATTCATAATACAATTAAAAAATAATAATAATACTCACACTGGAAATGAAGTGTTATCTTGCAAACACATTAACACATTGGATAATTAAAAGACATAAAGTAATATATTGCAAGTTCCAAGAGTTATATATTCATCTTATCATACTTAAAGGAGCATCAGCTATATCTAGGACTACTGCATTAAGAGAATTATACATCATCACGATAAATGAACTACCATACTTTTCCATTTATCAGTTAATACAAAATCCAGATAAAAGGATTGAATTACTTTTCTATCTATTATTTCATCATTCTTACTCCATAAACAACTACAGTAAGGTATAAAGGCTTGAACAAATACACTAAGCTTCACAAAAAACAAAAGGCTTATACAGTACAGATAGACATAAAACTAAGAGCCGATCAATGGCGAAGAGGATAAAAGTAAATCTATCCTGAACACATGTGGAGTGAGAGGGGTACACTGGCTCTTTCACACATGGCCTCAAAGCTACAAATGTCTTTCATTTGTGTTTAATCTTCAACAATCATAAGACAAGGCTGGAAACTTAACATACAAAGAGGAATTCCCAGGAAGCTACAAGGGTGAAGAGGATAAGTAATAACAACAGCAAAGTGAAGTTAAAAGAGAGAGAGTCTAAATATTTGAGTACTTGTATGTGTTTTCTGTTGAGACTTATTCTATATTTTTTGTGAGATTGAAACTACAGTAATAAACAAATCCAAAGCCTGAAACAATAATATCTTACCATCTACATACAGTGACTAGGCAATAGTATCTTTATAAAGTCCATTAAGCCTTTGATCTTTGACTCTTTATCAGTATTCAAGTCCCACATTCTCATATACTTCTCTTATAAAAATATAAAACAGGTTTGGCAAATTTAAATCCTGCATTCATAAACAAAAGGTATGAATAAAATCTACAGTATAATCAATAACTTCAACTCTCGATTCACCAACTACCATTAATGTCAGTGCACTACTAAAACACATACTGTACATATATTTACCCAGAATAAAAATAACATGTTACTAAATACAGGATAATAGAAAATAATTATACTACAACATAGGGAAAGTAATGCTTCTATTTGCAGATAAAACTCATGAAGGAGAAGAAGACATGGATCCTCCTCCTACCACAAAGCTTCCATTGCCTCGGAAAAGACATGACGTACATCTACCTCCTCTGGCTCGAGCACTGAACCAATCCCAGCTGGTGCATAATGTTTTACTGAAGAAACAAGTCAATCTTCTTGTTCCTTGACATATACAGAGAAAGTCCTTACTGGTGATGAATATTGGGTTCATTTCAAAAGGACTCAACTTTTTTTTTCTTATATTCAGGGTCACCTTTTCAATTAATCATACAAATTAAATAATACCTTTTTGAGAAAAAAATATGGAATCAACCAGCAGCTCATATAATAGTAACTTCTCACAAAGTTAAGGATGATATGATCCCATTTGATACAGTGGTTGAATGAAGGTCTTTACAAGATTCAGGTTAGAGGCAAAAAACCCTTCAGTAACTTGTTTCAAACCTTCTCTGTCAGTTTATATGCAAATCATTCCAGTCACTGTCAACTTCTACTCCTAACAAGGCAGGGAAATTAAATAAAAATGAGTCTTCCTCTTGGTCATAAAGTAGTTCCAAGAGTACTTCAATCCTCCATTATAATCCATTGTTTATGTTATATTTAACCAACTTATTACTGGCCTTTTACCTCCATTTAAACATGTATTTCTCTTTGATTCCTTTCTCTACTTTAATTCATAATAACACTTTCTACTTGTACTGTAAACACTCTTCCAAACCCTTTCACTTTTTACATTCAATCTTGAGATCTTTTTCTTTATACAGGAGAACTATACTTGCTCTCTGCACCTTCTCTTGGTACTTTACCCTTTGTCAACCATAACCTATACATTCCTGTTACCTATTTTACCACTTTTCTACCTCTTATCTTTAATTTAAATTTCCCACAGTGATTCCCCTTACTCCTGGAGACTTACTATTCTTAATACCTTCACTATGGGGATGTCACTATAAATATTTTATTTGGTTAATACCAGACGATTTTATTCAGTACAGAGATACATGTACACTAAGGGTTAACCCTGCATTAAGACTGTTTCAGCTCTTCCTCACTAATGACTTTCCCTTATTTCTTGATTGCGTTTTATTCATCAATAGGATTTCCCTATTTCATAACCATGCTCTTCCTGTTACCAATCCTCACTCAACACAAATTTTGATAACCTTCTCACGATTTCAACTCATTCCTTGTACTGTACTCTATGTTTACCCTAAATCCCCTCCACCTCCTCATCTTCAGTCTCACATATGAATTCACCCTCACTATAACACTCACTCACAGTAAAGATTTGAAGTGCATGAGTTACTAAGAAGATTTGAACCACTGATGTGAATACTCGCCAGACAGTGACTCACTAACAGAATCAAATGGGATCAATCAGGCCCCAATTCACCTGGGTGAGAAGTGCTGCTTGCGGTAGAAAAACATTATCCGGCCTTGACTGCCAGGATAGTGTAGCCGGTTGTCATACATATCAAGTCGTCTCACAAAAAGTGGATTTGCCACGAAATATTTACCAGTATGGATCTCACAGATTCAGAAGAACAGTAACTGGCATATAAATTCAGATGTTTTGGTCACTGTAACAAGAATTATAGAGAAAGCAAAAGTAGAATATAAAATATAGAAATGATGGAGATATGAACATGAGCCTTGAGGAATGAATAATAGTTAAGTGACTTTGTACAGAGAGTCATATACAAGATTACTGGTTCACTTTTTTCTATGAATAGGAAATACTAACCTTACAAAGCACAAAAAGTAAAGAGATCAAAATATATACAGTAATTACTGAATACAGAAATTTGACAGGGTAAAGACAGAAAATATGTGTAGCAGATGGGGACATGTGAACTGTAAAATAAAGGATAAGTTGTGAGAGATTCGTAATAACACAGCAGGAATGTGTGAGGATAGTGACAGCCAGTGTGAGAATGGGGCTGAGTCAGTATCTGAGCTGTTCATCTTAAGACAACTTATAGAGGTGTGTGACTGAGCATGACAAGAGACCAATCACAGTGGAGAAGAATCAAATTGACCAATCAGGTTAGTAAACTGAATAGATGTGTAAGATTCAAACACCTTCCATGTCTGGTCAAAGTGAGTCGAAATAAATTACACCTTTCAAGCTTAATACTATCATACTTATCATCCTTATCATTACACTGCATAGGTATTATCATTTAACATTTCCTTTAATCATTCATATCCCATTCCCAACTAAATGGGATAAAAGGAATGCACTGAGCACCACACAATCATAAGCGAGTGATTCTTGGATCATATGTGTTGCCTACCTCTCATTGACTGAATATTCACTGTCTTCACCTGACCATCTTCTCAATCAACTGTCATCTCTTCTCATTATGTACTGTAAAACTACAATCTTCTCTTCCCATCACCTGGAACCTTTCTCTTCACCTTCCATCATCTGAAGCCTTTGTCTTTACCTTTCCTTAAAATCAATATCTTCGCCTTCTTTAATGTCCCACTATCCTTAACCTCTCCTCACATTACATCCTGTGAAACCTTTCCACTTTCCTCCCTTCTTTTGAAACTTTTCTTCTCACAGTCAATCATCTAAAACCAGTCTAACTTCCCATCAGAAGAAACTACAAGGTCTTTTACCACCATATGATACCAATGGCTTCACAGTCCATTATATAAGACTATTGTGTTCAACTCCCATCATCTAAAAGCATTGTCTTGACATCACATTACATCACATCACATCACACCACGTCACATCACTTCACATCACATAACTAGAGAGAACTAAGCAACCCCTCAATTGGCTAGTACAGTGTACAGTATCAACAAGTGGTGAAGATGATTAGTAAGCAGAGTAAGTAAGCAAGTAACAGCCTCCATATATGGTATCATTTGTGGTATAAACTTCTTAGGTATGTTTTTCCTGTCTTATCTTCATGTGCCCTAAATCAAACACCATTGTTATTCACTAAACCTAACTCTCTTCAGTTCTTGTGTTTTACTGCTACAGTCTACTCCAGTATAATACTTTACAGTTTACTTTAGGTTAATGTCTTAATTTGTACAATCAACATTAATGCTAATCACAAGATACAAATAAACTCATTAAGTTTTACCTCAAAGTCTTTACCTCACACTTTACCTTTATATAAAACAAACCTAATATATCAGCACACTCTGACAGGTGACACTCAAAGTACCAAAAAAACAGACAATTATTTTTTATCCAACAAAACACTGAGCACATCACTTACTTTTCATTACAAAAAGCTTTTTCCATTTCAGCAGATATAAGGCCTTTCAGACCATCCTGAAGTATGGGGAATTTTGCTTTTAGGTCGGCGACAGTCTTGCTGTTGGAGGTGAAATAAAAATATAGCTATGATTTTTTAAGCATACATATCATTACATGATTTAAAATATATAAAGATTGAGCATAACTAATGCCCCACAAAAACAAAGCAAAAACAAAACAAATACTGTACAATTAAAGTACTAAGTGTAACATAATACTGTTTATAACAAAAAAAACATTGACAATCAGCTACTAAGTAATTTATGTAATAGTACAAGTAGTTCTTTGGCCTATACATAACAGCTGTATACCTCTTCAACAGAAACTAAAAGCTGTGAATATGTCTTACCTTGATCTAGATAATATTAGCGCCATATTTTCTACATCAGACATATTAACTCGTAGCCGCCTATTTATGACGTTGTTGCGCAGTTCCTCGACTTTCAGCTCCAAGTCACTGCAAAAAAAATTAATCTGAGAGAGTGGATAAACATTACAATACAGCGACACTTTATCTAACCCAAACATATATAAAGAAATCTGTGTTATTCTAAGGGCTGGTCTATTCTACAAACTCTGATAATTTTTCTGTGCATCAAAATACTATACAAAGAAGAAAGAGCTGTTTTACTGTTATATATGTAGCTTGTCTCTGCACAGCATTATATTATAAGTGAGAAGCATAAAAGTATCAATGGTTCACTACTCCCCCTAAAGACATGACTACACATGAGGTAAAAGTACTGTACAGTACTGTATTGCCAAGATAAAAATGTTAATTGCTACAGCCTCCTTTCTTTCACAAGTACAAAATGGTTGTCTCTATCTCACTACATTCACACATTACAGTAGTCTACTTTACACACTCAAGAGTTCATTCTCTGATTATGTATTACCGGGTACTTCTAATCTGAAACCTAAATTGACATGTCTAGCAGTTCCTAAACATTCATATAAACTTTTCTAAAATGTAAGTAGCCTCAAATATCACTTTTATTGACCTCTAAAGGTCTTTATTTTGATTGTCTGAAAATAAATGTACAGTATAAAGAATTGATCGTGAAACCCCAATTTATAGTTGTGCCACAATCAAGCAACTGTGTACAGTATAACCAGTAAGTCTAGAGGTTGAATCCCCAGACCCCAACAGTAAATAAGACAATCCTTCCCTTTTGTACATATTCAAATAAAGACGACACTTGCCATGAAGGTGTCCTTAATAGAGAGACAAAACTGACAATTTCTACTGAGTATAAACATATACAGTACAATCCACTTTTGTGTTAGTCAGTTAAAAAATTATATACCAGTACTGTAACAAGAATCAACTCATCAGATCCAGCTTACCTTAGCAACATTAATTCAGTCATATGTTCAACCAAATAATCAAATTCAGTATATGCTGTATAAAACTTAACTAAATCTCACATGACAGATCACTTTGTAAGAGTTTGTCAGCAAACAACTTGTAACTAAATGGATGCAGTGAGAGTGTAGTGAGGAAAGTTCTTACAACCTCTGAGGATGTATGACTTGGACTAAGCTGCAGCGGGAAAATGCCACTCCGGCAGACTTCTGCAAAATAGGACAAGAAACTGTGGCTTTGACTGACTTGGATTGACTGAAGAGCCCAGTACCTGATAGACTGTTTTTATATTCCTTGAAGAATTTGCAAATGTTCAATATCAAACATAAACAAACCAGTAATAAATCCTGAAAGAACTTATCATGTGGAGACTTCATAACCAAGAGGTGTGAACATTCAACATGGCACCTTTCTGAAATTCTAAGCTGGACATAATATTATCTTATATGCTCACCAACATATTAGGAAATTATAGGACCACAACAATGGGCACTTTGTCCCTGTTCACCAACTTGCCCTAAGCAGTTAACCCTGTTGCTGCAGTTGGTCCGTATCTGATCTCTAAACTTTTCTCTCATTCACTGTGGCTGTAAGAACTGTAAATGGTTTCTTTCTTTCAAATTTGCCTTGGATGGTGTTGGACCGTAAATATTTGTACAGTATTAAGGCTACTGACATCCCATTATGTGTTGGTGTACAGTAAGTCAACAGTTTCTCTTCTAACTGTCTCACTTAAGATGTTAAGAACTGTACTGGAGCTCCACACTGCTGTGTAGGTGATGGAAAAATCCAGATTATTTCATGGATTTACAAGATAGCATCAACTGTTAAGTTCAGTGATGTGTACCAACATAAACGATGATATACAGGTACACTACAGTCAACCCTCGCTTTGCGCGGTCCCACTTTACGCGTTTCCACGTTTACGCGGTACCCTGCCGAACACGGAATGCTCACTTTCCGCGGTGTGTGTACCCTTTTACGCGGAGAGCGGCGCGAGCAGGGTACACACAAGGTCGCCCAGTCATCAAAACATTACCGAGTTCTTCACCCGCCACCCACCACAGCCGGCCCAAGTCAGTGATAGGTATTGTGTCTGAAAAAGTGGAGTTTGGGGGTCGGCCCGGTCTCTATTTCAATTAATCCCATATGTTATGTTGTTCACTTTACGCGTTTCTCACTTTACGCGGGCCGCCGTGGGTACAATTGACCGCGTAAAGTGAGGGTTCACTGTATTACCATATACTGGGGCAACAGAAGCAAGAAAACTACAATATGAAATGACAACTGTCATAGCATATTCCTGCATCTGGCAGCATTTGTTTAGCTTTTGCCGACAGATTTCACACACACTGAAAAGTGGGTCCCATAGGCATGACTGCCCATTAGGGACAGTGTGAATACAACACACTGGATACTAAGCCTTCGGTACACAAGGAAGCAGCATGGCCAGTACTGCTCTTGACTAGATTTACTACCCAAGCTGTAAACTTAAGTACCCATTTACAGCTGGGTGAAATGGGAGTGTCCGGGGATTGAACCACTGATCCATGGAACAGGAGGGGAGCATTGCATCTGCTCAACCGCCGCACTTATTTGTTACAATGCATAGCAGCATATAAGTGATTGATTCAATGAGTTATATGTTCTTATAATCAGGGATAAGTACAGTACAGTACTCTATTCGCTGGCACAATCAAACAAGAAAAAGATATTTAATTCTTATTTCTGATAATCCACAGCACAGGAGGTAGGTGTTCAGTGTTGAGCTTGCACCAGTGAATGGGTTATGCAAAATATGTTCATACAGCTCAATATCAACATTCTATATTCAATCCTAACTCTAAGGACTGCATGATGACAGTCAACAATGTATGTGTGCCTAACATCATTAGAAACACATCGCTGCCTGTAGGGTCTGAGCCAAAACTGAACAGGTCCATTACATATAACTGTGTGACAGGCATGTGGAATGAAGTTGGAGAGTAGACCAATTCTTTAATATTATGGTACGGTATTTGAATTTTAGAATCCAGTCACAAGTTGGGGTTGTGAGGCCTCAGTGTCTGGGATTCAACCTCCTTAACATACCAGTCCTGGTTAAACAGAGTTGCTGGAGCCAAGCATAGGTAATAAAAAAACTTGAGTTGAGTGAAACACAGATGCCCGGGTAATACAAAAATTATTCCCACACCTCTAAATCTAGTCAGGAAGCCAAAAAATAGTTTTTGCTTTATGTTGCGAGGAAACTTGAGTCACACAGATGTACCGTACATACATACAGATGGATAGATTCAATCATCAATATTTTCCCAACAGACACAGTGAAGGTTTAATAACAATAGGAGCATTAATAATTAAATACTCTGTCACTATACTCCACAGGACTCATACACAATCTCCCAAAAAGAAAGTCTATGTATGCCTCAACTCTTCAAATCTACAGCCACTGCATAGTGTCCCTCTGTCTCAATATCTTTCTACATTAAAAGAGAGAGAGAGGCTACTATAATCAGTTTGTTTCAGAGTTTGTCAGTCTGTACAGTAAACTTCTTACTTCCCAGACAGGGGTGAGGGCCTGCACTGTAACAATTCTCACATTTTCCATCTTTCAGTTGGTTTTACGCTGCATCTCCTCTCCCACCTTAATTAGAACACATCTCACTCATTCTCTCAATAGCCACTCTTTCCACACATCAACAGTGAAAAATGAATAAAAAATTACCAGGGATAAATAAACTAATGAAGACACAGTACACTAATTCTTCACTTGAGGAAATTCTCATTGAAATTGGGATGAAAAGTGAATGCAGAAAAATGTACATACCAATGTACTGTATGCTAGGACTGCTTCAGTGTAGAGAAATTAACAGAAAATGGAATACATCACTAACTTACCACAGGCCCACTCTATCATGCTGTGGACTTAAACATAACCTGCTGCCAGCTGTTGGTGTCCATCAACAATAGAAATAAACTAACTGCAAAAAAATGAAGCTTCACTTCTAATGTAAAGAATATAATGAGATATATGTAAAATATGAAGCAAAGTAATTAATACACGAGAGCCAGGAGACAACACAACACAGTAATAATCCTGAATAAATAATTTGTGCACCGAGAGATGTAAAACAGGTTCAAGGTATTTGCCACAATATTGTTTAGCCGGTATACATTTTAAAAGAGATTCATTAAGACAGCCGTGGCCAAAGGAGAGAACTACACTATGAAAAACGTTTGCATTTTAATACTACAACAAAGCTCATTACTTTAGATAGAAGTTACACAAAAAAAGCAGAATTAATGTTGTGTTGACTCTCCAGTTTGGTTAATGGAATACATAACAATATATGAGCTCTAAAATTTAATGAAAAAACATGATTTCTCAAGCAATGGGTTTGGTAAAACTTGTGGTATTATAGCAAGTCTAATTAAAAGCTCTATTTAAGGAACAGATGTGGAGAGTGTTCCTCCACCCCGTTGATAACCCGTGTCTCCAAACGGAAACGTCGTAGTAGTGTCACTATTTATGAATGAGTGGGTATTGGTTGTGTAACGATTGATGTGATTGGTGGATAGGTTTGCCATAGGTCATATAGGTTGGCTGTTTGGAGACACAGGTTACCACAGGGGGTGTAGGAACATATTTCCACAACTGTACCAGACAGTATTATACAAGGTGTTATAGAAGACCCTGTGCACCTGTAATAATTAACACTATATAGATGTTCCTTGTTAAACCTACATTGATATACACCTTGTTCTTCTTCCAGTAAATATTGGGAATTGTATCCACTTCCAACATTGACTAAGACCATTACCAGAATTTACTCTAAGTAGAAAAAGGTAAATAACTATACCGTATTGTTAATTATTGCAGGTGCTCAGGGACCTTTATAACACCAGGTACAGTACACCAGCTTCTCTCTGTCCCTCTACACTATACATACATCCCTGCCACAGTTTTCTCTTAATCATCACAAAATAAAGCATAAACAAGGCAGGTGCTACAACCCCTCACTGGAAATTATTAAAATATTATTATTTTTTCAGGAGAATCTTTTCACTAAGTAAAGAGCTACACATAATTAACAACAAAGTAAAACTGTTTACAAACAAGCTGCAAACTACATACAAGATAGTTGTAAAATAAATTTGTCTGGAAAGAGAATCATAATTAACTTCAAGTTCATTCTAAGAACAAGACATAAATCATAGTTGAGACAAAGTGACAAGTAAACCTCCACTGTACCTAATGTGCTGTTTCATTGTTAACACTAAATGATTACACACACACACACAATAATAATAATAATAATAATAATGACACACACACACACACACAATAATAATAATAATAATGATTGCCCCTCGTGTACGAGAATGGCCGGCCCTAAGGCCAACTAGGTGTGAATTTGCTTAAGTTGTAGAAGCTGTTATCAACACAACCACATCCTAAGTTAACGAGCTGCATGACCCAGTATCAAGGAATAATCCGAGAAAGCCATTACTCCGGAACATGATCCGCAAATTGATTAACATCCAGGTTCCCAATTACTGCTGGGTAGACAGTGGCAAATGGCAAACAGAAACTTGCACACAGGTTCACCGTGACCGGGATTGAACCCGAGTCCACTTGCTTGTGAGGCGAGCATGCTGACCACTACACCACATGCACGTACACACACACATACAAACACTCCCTCTTTTTGTTCTTCCTTTTTTCAGTATTTTATCCTTTCTTATTCCACTATGCTATCCCTCCTTATTCCACCACCTTATCCTTATTCAACCACCTTATCCCTCCTTACTGCACCACCTTATCCTTCCTTCTTCCACCACCTTATCCCTCCTTACTCCCTATCTTTACCCCTCCTTACTTTCCCACTTTATTCTTCCTTATTCCACTATGTTATACCCCCTTATTCCACCACCTTATCCCTCCTTATTCCATCCACTTTATCCAACCCAATTACACCTTAAGTCTCTTCCCATCTTTGTATCACCACACTTTATCTTCCATTCTCCTTATAGACACACCCTTCGCTACCCACCAGTCCCTTAGACATATCTACAAACCTCAGCACATTTCTTTAACCCTCTTAGCTATAACCCCAGTCAACCCTCTTAGCTATAACCCCAGTCAACCCTCTTAACTATAACCCCAGTCAACCCTCTTAACTATAACCCCAGTCAACGCTCTTAACTATAACCCCAGTCAACCCTCTAAGCTATAACCCCAGTCAACCCTCTTAACTATAACCCCAGTCAACCCTCTTAACTATAACCCCAGTCAACCCTCTTAGCTATAACCCCAGTCAGCCCTCTTAACTATAACCCCAGTCAACCCTCTTAGCTATAACCCCAGTCTGTATTTATATCTTTTCTGTTCTTGTGCATAAGTCTCATCTGATTAGTTTCAATATCATGAAGACAAACAGTAACTCAATTCCATTAAATCATAATAACACAAGGTGCAGTGGAGATGTTAGTTTAGCTATTCTTATGGGTTAAAATATAGCCTAAGTCATCAAACACATCATTATGCCTTTATATTTCACTTTGCCAAATGTTGAAAAAATACCTGGTCTTCTGCAATATTCCTTTATGTGTTATTATGTTAACTGTGATTTACTTGGCAAATAACTAAATCAACTTGTTTTCCCCAAGAACCTTCCCACATGCCAACACAAGATTCACCTTATTGATTTCCTTTTTCAGAGGTAGTCAATGATGCCATCTATGGTATGGCATAGTACTCCATAGCAGAGGTTCTCATCCAGCTATGTTATATGCTTCTTACCAGTGGTATGCCAACCACCGAGTCCATTACCAGATGAGCTTTTTCACTCAAGGAACTTTTGCTGATGATGACACTACACTCCCAACCAGACATCCTCTTCATCCAGGTCAATATGTCGTTGACCCTCTACCCTTGGATATGACATGTTGTACTGTACTACCTACCATAGATCCTTATCCAGCTTGGTCATATCCTGCCTGTACGAGGCCTCCTCACGCTGTATCCTGACCCTCTCCGCGTCCGCTGACCCCTGCAGTAAAGACGCCTCGTTGGACTGTAGCAGCGTCCTGAGGAGTAATGATTGTTTATAGTTATTATCTTCACTTTAATCAATTTTTTCTCTCCCATGATAATTTTCAGTGGAAGTTTTTCACCTACATGGGATTCATATTGGCCAATTGAGGGTCGCAACGCACGTGACTGGGTTATTGTGAGAGAAAAGTGACTCTGTCAGCTGAGGGTGGTTTGCCGCTCTAGCCTAGCAATCACTATTGTGGTCAGTGGGAGGAGACAGCGTGGGAGAATGGGGTGCGGTTCACGACTGTTCTAAACTCTGCCAACTACATCTACGTTCTCAGTTTTTCTCTACCCTTTGCATGATGCCTCCTAAGCATACTGGCTTCGGACTGCACAATGGTCATAATAGGGACAAGACATCATAGATGCCGCAGTTAGCTTGCAAAATGGGTAGGCCATTCGCAAGCTGTGTGTGGGATATCTTGAGCACGTTCTTTAGGATGATGGCAACAGGGATCACTCTTGTAAAAAAAAATTGAGAGAAGAAACTGATATAAGTTGTGCAGGGAGAGTGTCTATATAGGTGACAGTGATAATAGTAAATGTTGAGATGTGCAGTAGAGATAATATATATATATATATATAAAGATAATTAATAAACTGTTCAAAAGAAAAAACTAAACACGACTTACGTTATTTTGGTCACTGTGTCTCTGAGAATTTCCTTCATAGTGAGAGCATTTGCTTGTGAAGTCTTTCTAAGGTTCCTTACATCAGTCCTGAGCTCCTTGGCTTTCTTCTGTAGTACTCGAAGCTGGTTGTACACTTCGGGGGAGAGGCGCAAGTCTGTAAATATTGACCAAGTCAGTTTACAATAGCATTAATGAAAATCACACATCTATAACCTGAGACCCAACAATAACTGTGAAAAATTTTGCCTCTCAGGAACTGTACTGTCCATAGAACTTCATGTTAAATATTCAACCAATCATATTCTTATACTGGTGTAAAAAAAAACTGTCATGAGAGGATACAGTAATTCCTAAATATGACAATTAAAAGAATATCAAAATGTATTTCAGCTTATGCAAGACTTTAAATCAGTGGAAATTAAACCATAACAGCAACAACTCCATCTTCTTTATGAAACTAATTTAAGGTTCAGTGGATAAATTTGTGAATGAGTTAATTAATCTCATTATCATCTGGCAACACTGGTATGGTATCAATAGAAATAACAACTCACCTCTTATTGGGTTATATACCAAGCCTGTGCTTTTAATAACGTCTTAGTGACATAAAAGCTGGCAACAGGTATTAGGGTGGGAGAATGACACACCACTGGGGAACATTGAGTTACTTGATAATACTGTACTGGGTCACAATGATTCATTAGTGGGGAATCTCTCAACAGTGTAGCTACAGGGTAGTTGATGCCGCACTCAGGCAACAACAACGTAACAAACAGGCTAAGTGGATTACATTACATTAAAAATTCTGAAGCACTGTGTGTGGTAGCGAGGGATATAAAATAAACAAGTCTCGGACAGCAAATTCCTCGACACAGACGAAGCAATGAACTACGTTGCCAATATAACAATAACAAATAAGACACTTGAGTCGGTTATGGCAATCACCATAAAAAACCAAGATTTACACCAAGGGGTAACTAAAATGGCATATATAAGGAACATGTCTGGAACCATTAAACAGTTACAGTACTAAGACATTAACATCATAAAAGTGGTTCCCATAGGCCTGCCGGTCCATTATGGGAACTGTAGACATAGCAAACTGTGGATCAAGCCCTTCTCGGTACACAAGGAGGCAGTATGACAGGCAATCAACTCAACTGCCTTCCACAACTGTAAATTTAGGTACCCATTCACAGCTGGTTGGATTAGGGATGCCCTGGAAGCAATCTAATGACCCCTAGGACACAAGGTGAGCAGTGTAACATTTCAGCCATTACAACCCATAATAATATGAGATACTGTATATACAGTAATTTAAATAACTAGAAATCACGAATTATAAAAAAATAATGATAATTTTCAAATGAGTACATATGAAATTACATAATAGATAGTACTGTATAGGATATTCATGAAATGTAAAAAGGCTGAAAATGAAAGAAAGAGGCGGAGGGGGAGGTGATAGAGAAACAGAAGGAGGGAGAGAACGACAATATAAGAGAGAAGGAGGCAGAGAAAAGATAAAAATAAAGGTTGAAATAACAGCAGAGATAGAATCAAGTACAAACATAGAAGACATGTGGTTACTGTTCATATAAGACTTACAATTCCACCAACATCCCACACAGAGGGAGACTCAGGGTAGACCAGGACCAAAGTACCAAACTTGTGCTGATTCCATTACCAATACATTCCTTTCATATACATAGTCTTTTTTTTTTGTCACGTCTTTTTTGTCAAGTTTTCTTCCTAACATTATATTATTTACACTTACCTTTACAGTACATTAAAACATTCCTCTAACATATTTATTCCATACTTACTCTTCCAAAATAAACACACCATCTTTCATAATAACATGTATCCCTATTTGTCCATCGTTAGTTGGTTTAAATAGTAAAACATTTCATTTTCAACTGCTTATATTGTCCCAGCCAATTTAATGATACCTGATGAATTGATCCTGGTCACATTTTAAGAACATTAATATCGAGCAACTACGTACAGTTCTGTATAGCCTCAATAGGCCCCGAGGCATAGGGATTCAACCCTTACTTACTATACAGAGTTCCTGAACCCTGACATTTCATTAGTAAATATACTGTACCATTCCTTTGAACAGTGGCACTATACCCACGGCCTATAACTGACATTATAATCTTTCATTTATTTATCTTAAGTCTTGAATATTTAATGACTTTTTTGCCATCTCAGCATCCTTTCCAGCAATAGGTGTTCACAATACTAACACAATACTGTACTCATGAAAGTTCTCCAGTTTGCATCTCCCAAACTTAGTCTGTTCTTTCTTAATCTACTTGTAACACCACTGTGTATTTGTTGACTGTTGATACAGAGCGTTTCAGAGTATATACACTTAGATTCTTTGACCGACAATATCCAATATGCAATAAGATCTTAAGCTTATGTCATTGCTCCTACGTGTAAATTTTGGTCTGAATAAAGCTGTTAGTGGTCGACAAAATTTGCTAACAAGCCTCTCTCCCTCTACAAGGTGTTGAACTTTGATGGGCTGCAGCCAGATACAATGATATGAGTGTACTGTATAAACATGTCAAATATGGTGTACCTGTGACCATTAGCTGTTAACATATTCTGATGACAAATCCCCCACCTTATAAATTAAGATTCCTTCACCATTATATGCTAAAGCACCCATAACAATAATTATCTCTGAAAATTTGGAGCCTTGACTTCTGCCATCTCCCCTTCCCCTCCCTCAGCCCAGAGAAGAATAGCTCACATCCTATAAAAGGAGACGTTTATTTAGTTTTAATTAGTCTCTGGAATCATCATGTCTAATGTCAGTCCAGTATATACTCATTTAAATTCCAGCCATCTCCACTCCATTCATACTTATACCTGTAGTTAGTAACTATTTCTCCATAACACCAACATTCAAATAAGCTTCCTCCATCTTTTACTTATACACAAAAAGCTAAATTATAATATTACCTCATTTTATACTCCTTTCTCTGTTTACACCAGTTAAAAAATGTATCATATATATTAATCTTTATTGAGATCAGATTAATCGCTTTGTTCTTTTGAATCATTAACAAAGATCTAAAGTTTTCAGCATATATCCAATAACAAAGGACTTCTAGTTTAATATTATCAAAGTACTATACTGTACTAAGTCTTCAACAAAAGGGTTATATAGGATTATTATCTTAAGATATGCAATAAACAAGAACCAAAAAATCAATAAGAATAAAGTCTGATTTTTAGGCTCGGTTTATTGCACGTCCTAAAATATGGTAATGATTTTAGGGCTCTCAAATAAATAAAATAAATACCCTGTATTAGACACAAGTAAATGAACAAATAAATCAATATTAAGGAACATTATGTATACAAGCTAAAATAAGTTAGAGATACTAACACTAATGATAACTTCAAGGCTATGGAGCAAATAATAATTAAACAAAAACAATAGTACAGTTTGTATAATAATCTGTAAATTTGCTCTGATATTCACTACATATTAGCAAATTTCATCCGAATTAAGCAGAACATCTAAAAATCTGTTAAAATCCTATAGTACCTGCAGTAACAAACACCCCCCCAAAACGTACAATAATTTAGATGCTGAAGAAGACGAGTTAAGGGCAGTGTTTACTCGACTCCGTAATATAATAAACTAATTTATGTGGATATAAAAATATATTTACCGTACATCAAATATTAAGTTTTCTCAAGTAGTTAAATTTCTCTAAAAAAACAAACAGACTGACTGAAATAAAAATGTTAACAGAGACCTAATGCTTTGTAATTCTTCAGGAAAAAATCTTATCTATCGGTAATCCTAACATGGTGGAATATATTTTCAGTGGGTCCAAGTTACCAGAGAACACTTAATAAAGTGAGGTATGTGAGGGTTTACTGAGCCTCAACGAGTCACTCACAATACAACACTATCATCTAAGTATATTTTTGGGAAGAATTATAATTAATGTAATAAAAATCACAGAGTATTTTTTTTTAATTGTTGGTTAAGTGATACGATGCATATTTAAGGATGCTTGTAAAAAAGAAGTCTCATGCCAAGTATAAATTTTCAATGTAAATGGTGCTTGAAAGTTGAAAGTCTTTTAAATTTATCATTCCTTCGGCCACGTGCAAATGTCGAGCAGAATGAGCTGCCAACACATTTGCCTAACAGAACACATAAACTCAGATGATATAAAAATATATAATGTATCTGCACAGAAACACAGGACATGCCACATGGACAAGGAGAGTGTGAACAGGAAGATTTACCCATCTGTAATATTAACATCAAGATCAGCCTGGCTCGTGGTCAGTACTTGTGTCTGGTCAACTGTACACAATACACTTTCCTTAATGTTTACCATATCAAACGTGAAATAATTTTACAATGCATTAATATATCTTATCATATATCTTATACTCATTATACTTTCTCTATTTCTCATTTATCTTAAAAAAATTGCAGTAAGATCATAAATTAATGGAAAGTCATCACACAGTAAGACACTGATATACTGTACTATTAAAGTGGTCCAATTATTACTTCAATTAACTCAATTTATATTCTGCACTTTGGAAGCAGAAAGAATGATTTGAAGTGAAGCACGGTATATAATATAATCAATAAATTAATAATTATCAGAAAACCTTTTAGTATAAGCAGATTTTATCTTACAAAACAATTACATTACCACTGTAATTTAAATTTGCTTCACATAGTCGTGATGTAGTTTACTGGAGAGCTCTGAATTATATATATTCTCAGGCTCATACTTAAAACAACATTTATATACAGTAAAGTAATGTATTGTAGAGTACTGTATTTGCAAAATGATACTGTTGGAAATATTTATATTATCATACAGTACAATACTGTAACACCGTTTTCAATCATTCAGCTAATCTATGAAGTCCTGAAAAAATGATTCACCTCAGAATAATCTTTAAATTCCGGACAACTGTTGACTTTATAGAGGAAGAAACACGTGACACAGACCACCAGCTGACTGTTCCACCATATTGTATTACAGCGGCCACAGAAAGTGCCAAGGAAAGTTAACCTTTACTTCAACATTTTTTCAATGAGAAAAAAAAATAATAACTCATACATTCCGAAAAAAAATAGTTAGAATTTTC